TCCCGGGAATACAGGGGGCGGGGACATCTCTCATGGTGGGGGATGGTGAGATCTTCCTGGGTGGGGTCCCGGGAATACAGGGGGCGGGGACATCTCTCTGGTGGGTTCCTCTTACTGGATCCATCTGTAGGAAACACACACACTGACTGAATACATTGTTTCTATGTGTGTATCAGATGATGGGGGATGTAGGCGGAGCCTCCGTACTGCTCTCTCCTCTTACCCGGTGATGTGAGGGGCGGGGCATTCTCCATCACCACGTCCTTGTAGAGATCCTTGTGTCCTCCTAAGTTCTCTTCCACAGACACCCCATGTCTGTTCCTGGATAATGTCCCAGAATTCCCGGCACCGCCCACCTCTCCCGTCAGCAGCTCCATCATCTTCTTGGTGACTTCTAGGATCTTCTCCATGTTGGGTCTCTCGGGTTTTAGGGAGTCACATGGGGGCACTGTGATGGTCACATGATCACCGGACTTCAGAGGATGAAAACTCTTGATGGAGGAACCAATAGGAACATCATGTTAGAATCCCAGAAACCTCCTCACCTCTCCGGTCAGGTCATGTGACCTCCCAGACCCTCCTCACCTCTCCGGTCAGGTCATGTGACCTCCCAGAATCCCCCTCACCTCTCCGATCAGGTCATGTGACCTCCCACAATCCTCCTCACCTCTCCGGTCAGGTCATGTGACCTCCCAAGAATCCTCCTCACCTCTCCGGTCAGCAGGTAGATGATCTCCAGGGTGAGGTTTAGTATTCTCTCGGTCATGGGACTCCGGTCCTCCTCCATCATTGGTGCAGTCAATGTCGGTTGTCCTGTAGACAGATAACACTGATATCAGAGAATGATCCGGAACTGTCCGGCAGTTTCAGAGGTCAATAGGAGTAGAGATTGTCGGGGGCTGTAGAGCGCACTCCAGGGAATGTTATTGGGCAGGAATCCCGTCTCCGGTAGGGTTCTGCTTTCCCCTCGGTAAGAGCTATGTTCTATTTGACGTAGACCAACCTGAAGGCTCCTGAGATGTGTGACGTCAGTATCCCAGAGGGCTTTGGGGTGCTCTACGGCTCGTCACCGGTGAACATAATTGGGGTGGGCAGCATACACTTGAAAGATATCCTGCTGGATCCATACTAGATTTCTGGTGCTATGTTCTCCAGGCCCCCCTAAAACGAGGACCAAAATGGAAGTATTCCACATTCCATCTTCTCTGTTGGAGGCAGCAGGAGGTCAGGGCATGACAGGGGGGGGGGGTTACTGGATGTAAATATAAAATAATATCTTATTACCTCCTCTGCTGCCAGTTTCAGCAATGTCTCCTCTCTACTTCCAAGTCACCTCCCACTTCCTGTTTATTCCATAGAGACTTCCTGTCTGGGTATAGGTGAGATCACCACATTGTGGAGCTCAGAGGAACTGCAGGCCCGAGAAACCTCTCGTAGTGGCCTTATCCTTTTTGCCAAATGTTCCAGATGCTGTAGGATTTTGTCTTCTGTCCCCTCAGGTTCCAGGATGCCGCACCGACTTGTTTTTTATCTTCACTAACAGTTACATTTCTTGAGCATGCCGGGCAGGACATGGGCAGTTTGGAGGTGGCTGGGTAATATGCAGGCACACTATATTACCAGAAGTATTGGGACGCCTTTACACGCACATGAACTCTAATGGCCCCCCAGTCTTAGTCCGTAGGGTTCAGTATTGGGTTGGCTCCGCCTTTTAATGGCCCCCCAGTCTTAGTCCGTAGGGTTCAGTATTGGGTTGGCTCCGCCCTTTGCCGCTATAACACCTTCAACTCTTCTGGGGAGGCATCCACAAGGTTTAGGGGTGTGTCTATGGGAATGTTGGACCATTTGTGAGGTCAGGTACTGATGTTGGGGAGGGGCTCGCAGTCTCCGCCTCTCATTCATCCCAAAGGTGTTCTATGGGGTTGAGGTCAGGACTCTGCGCGGCCAGTCACGTTCCTCCGCCCCAAACTCCCCCATCCATGTCTTTATGGACCTTGCTTTGTGCACTGGTGCGCAGTCATGTTGGAACAGGAAGGGGCCGTCCCCAAACTCCTCCCACAAAGCTGGGAGCATGAAATTGTCCAAAATGTCTTGGTGTGCTGAGGCCTTAAGAGTTCCCTTCACTGATCCCTATCAGTCATATATTTCTGTCCCTCTCGGTGGGGTGGAGATGACCCGTCTATAAGGATATACAGAACATACACACACAGTACAAGGTCGTGGTCATACTACGAGAGGTTTCTCGGGGTCTGCAGTCCCTCTGAGCTCCACAAGGTGGTGATCTCACCTATACCCCAGACAGGAAGTCTCTATGGAAAATAGACAGGAAGTGATGTCACATATAAATAGGAAGTTCCTGGCAAGAGGTGAGACAGGAATTGTGCACGGCATTATGAAATCTGAAGACCACCAAAGAATTCTGGGGTGCAACGTAGGGCCCGGTGTCAGAAAGTTGGGGGTCTCCGTTAGAGGTCGCGGGTCTTCCAGCAGGACAATGACCCAAAGCCCCCAGAATTGGTTCCAGACAAAGCGCTGGAGAGGACTGGACTGGCCGGCAATGAGTCCAGATCCGAATCCCATGGAGCTTCTGTGAAGGGAAAAGGAATCCTTCCAATCTGAGAGACGACCCAGAATCCCTAAGGGGAAAAGACTCATTGATGGTGACAGGAAGCCATTCATCCAACGGCTGGGCTACCAAATATTAATTGAGGGTGCCAATAATTTTGTCCAATCCATTTGTGGAGTTTTGGGTGGGATGTGTCAGGTTTGGCTTTTTTTTTTGCTCTACTTTTTGTGTGACCAAAACAAAGGAAACAAAACATGAGAATGCCGAAACATTTGTCATGGCAACAATTTTCTGCACGAAGTGGTGAATTATGGGTCAGAAATGCCGGGGGGCCATGACTGTATATGATCTTTTTTTTCCCTCTTTCTTCTTATTCGAAGCGTATATCTGTCTACAGGGAGACCTTCATAGAGGACTGCACCAATGATGGAGGAGGACCGGAGTCACATGACCGAGAGGATACTAAACCTCACCCTGGAGATCATCTACCTGCTGACCGGAGAGGTGAGGAGGATTCTGGGAGGTCACATGACATCACTCTTATCTCTATTCATAAAACACAGACCTGACCAGAGGGTTGAGGAGCAAAAACACGGACCTGACCAGAGGCTTGAGGAGCATTCTGGGAGGTCACATGACCTGACCGGAGAGGTGAGGAGGATTCTGGGATTCTAACATGATGTTCCTATTGGTTCCTCCATCCAGAGTTTTCTTCTTCTGAAGTCTGGTGATCATGTGACCATCACAGCTTACACGCCTACAGAGATCAGCACAGGTGGGTCATATTATATTCTTCTGTTATCTCTGCTCTGTTCCTGCACACTGATTGGTCCAGAGGAGGGCGGAGCTTAGTGATATCAGCCAATAATAGATTGATAATGAGCCAGTTGGTTGGGACCTCCTCATAGAACATCTGCTCCCTCAGACCTCCTGATCCAGATGGAATGTTGAGTGAAGAGGGGAGGAGTCCCGGCTGGTTGGGACCTCCTCATAGAACATCCGCTCCCTCAGACCTCCTGATCCAGATGGAATGTTGAGTGAAGTCATCTAACCCTCTCATATCTCTCCATCATGTGTTTCTATGTTTCC